TTACTGAGACGTTTGATCTCACCCCTTATATTAACAATTGTCAGGCGAAGGATCTAGTAGGAATCAAGGGAAGGTACCAATGGAGTGACCGGTGAAGGCTTCTGTGCTCCTCAAGCACATGCTATGTTATTTTTATTTGCCATAACTAAGACTTAATAGTTTATGTCTGTTAATTATGTTAGAAATGTTTTGAAAATTTTGACTTATTTGCAGTATTAAAATATGTATGGACTTTTAAATTAAATATTTTATACGTATATTGATATAATTATGTGAGGTGTTACACAAATGAGGTTTTATATAAAAACTGAACGTAATTTTATCTAATCATAAAATCATGATAAAAAAAAAAAAACATGCTTTTAATGTAAAAATCAAAACAATGAGAACAACTCTAATCTATATAGATATATGAACATCTCAACATTGAGCATGTACTTGGAAATCTATTAATCTTAGTTAAAATGCAAAACTTTATTTTAAATTTATATATAGCCCATTTTAAATATTGAAACTTGGACCAATTCAAGCCATAGACGATCCAAAATTTTGATTGAACCAGATTAACCCAGTTACCTTGGTTTTGCAACCCAGTCAACACAACTGATTGAACAAGGCAAGTAATTGACATTCATAATTTCCCACTCCTAAGCACGAAACGACGTCATTTTGGCTGACTTGACTTAATAACTTTTTTTTTTTTTAACCAGGTAGATTTATTGTTTCCTTTGGCCCTAAATATAAAAGTTAGTTGAAAATTAAGTTTGATTTCAAATATAAATCTCAATTCATTTTTATCTCCATTCTTATGATTTTTTTTTTCAAATTATCACTATTGATTGTATATCTTAAGAGGTTTTACAATAGTAGTAGTTTCATTACAAATGATTTAAAACGATATTTTAGAAAGACCAATATATTTTTTGACAAATAATTAATTCAATTGTCTTATTATTTACTTAAATTAATTAAATAGATCTTATATTAAAATTAAAAGTAGTATAAGTTAATGGTAAAGATCCAACTTGCATATATAAGTTGCTTCAACTATTGTTACTCTAGTCATTGAATATGTATCTTCCAAGTAATTGCAGCACTGAAGTTGTATAATTAATATTGCATACGACATTAAATTTTGTATGATTTATGGATAAATGTTCCACTTGCACGATGATTAATACTTTATTTTGAATTTAAATATTACTTTCTCATGAGCTACATATGAATACTTTTTATATGTTTAATTAGATAACGTTATTTTAATTATAATGGTGGGTCAACTCTATTTTTTCAAGTGCATGAATCTTTCTATAAAATAATCATGTTTGACGTACTGTCAGCTACTAATATGGGCCATTCTTAGGTACTGTCAGGTACTAAATATAGGCCATTCTCTCAGCATATATTTAAACACTGACTCCTCATATTGCAAGGAATCAATTCATTTTATTAGACCTAATTTCTATTGATGGGTTAGTTCTAATTTGAACAACTAATTCTTGAATATTGATTGGTTCCATAACTAACCCAATTTTCAGTTGATTATCCCACTTGTAACCAAAAAAACCACACTATAAATCAGGAATGTGTCATGCAACGTGGGAAAAAGAAGAAGAAAAAGGAAATGGCCTAGAGGGTGAGCAGGAAGGAATATTAGGCCACGAGGCTACTTGTTAGGGATCATTCAAGGGAATCCAAGAAGAGGGCTTATCTCGGGGGAAATTGGCCATATCAATTAGGGCCTATGAGGAAGACAAGTAGATGATGGACCACGCAAGTGGAGGTGGACAGAAGAAAGATCTAACAGGCTTGCATATTTTCATGTTTGGTTTCATGTGGTCCATTTCTCTTCCAATTTCCTCTTTTTCCTTTTGTTTTCCAATTTCCTCTTTTTCCTTTTGTCCTCTTTCTCATTTTTTGTGACTTCCTAGAAATGTGAAAGCCTCATGTCTCAATCTCATCCTCTCTTTTCAAGTGATCTACTTTGAACCCTAGCTTCCATAGGCTCTGTCATTCCCTTGCTTCATTCAATGGAAATAGTATATTCTTTGGGATGTAGAATTCTCAGGAATCTTTGAAGGATTTTAAAGCTCTTTTGGTATATTTTATCTTCATTTTCTTTTTTAAAAAAATAATTTACAATAATTCAAGAACAACAAAAAGTTAAATGAGGTCCGCTAATTATGACAAGAATATAACTCCGTCCGACCGAACTCCTTAACTAATTTACTAATTAGATTACAAAGCCAAACAAATTAGACGATTATCACAATTATGACATGTATGATCTCCTTTGAAATATTCTCATATAACATTAGATTATCCATCAACTTATAAATTAATTTAAAAAAAATAATAAATATGAGAGAAAAATTAGAGTAACATCTTATATTTAGAATTACATACAATCTTTTTAACTAGTTCTTATATTAAGGATTATATAAAGTCTTGTGGCAAAGATTTAAAGTCCGTTAATAAATATATAATGTTGTTGTTTTTTCCTCCACAATATATAAAAATATGCTCGTTATATCTTTATTGTTATTATTATTTTATTTAGAAGCATGAGCATAGTTTTATTACAATCACAAATTTATTGTGCATACCAAAGATCTTGCAAATTCCCCTGGTTTACTTTAAAGGGACAAGAGAAAAAAAAAAAGACTAATAAAATGACAAAGGCACTAGGTGACACATGAAATTGGTAGAAAAATGAGGAACAGTGTGTTAGGTGAGACACACTTGATGCTCATGAAGACCTTATTTGTGCGGTACCAATGAAGCTAAAGGCCACAAGTGTCCAACCCCAACCCTTTAAAATTTCCCTCACAAGCATTTTCTATGCCTGCTTAATTTCTTCCCTTTTTTTTTCAAAAAAGAGAAGTTATTTTTAGATAATTCATGCATTAGAAAATAGTTTTAAAATTTTGATTCTGCTCAAAAACCGATATAGATCATTTTTCTGTTCATAGTTGATTAAAATACATATTTTTTGACCTAATAACAAAGTCTAAACTTGCCATAAAGAGTTAAGTATACTCTTGAATTATTTTATTATCGCTTGCAAAACAAAAAAATATTTTATCATCAACACTTTTTTAAACACTTTTTACTTTACAAGACAAAACTTACCTTTAAGATAAAATAAGTACTTGGTAATGACGAGTTTAGCCTAATAATAATAACTGATGAAATGGAAGTGCAATCATTCAAATGGGAATGAAAAGGAAACAATCATCCAGAAAGAAAGAAACAAAAAGAGCTGTAAAGTTAGTAACATAAAATAGGATTCACTTCCCATTTTGAAGTGGCGTACATTTTTCTTTTTAATAAAATGATGTTTACCATTACTAACCAGAGAGTACATTAAAAGCGGAAGTAGTCATAACATATTTTCTCTCATCAACATCCACCTCATCCACCTCTCGGATGATCAAGAGCAGGAAGCAAAACTTCCATGTCATGAGATAACAATTTCCTCAAGAGTATGGCTGCCAATTCTTGTGCACTACTATGTACTCCTTCCGTCTCTTATTATAAGATCTATTTTTTCAAAATAGGTTTGTCTCTTTTTATAAAATTTTTTTTAAATTTGTCTTAACATTTAATGTATTATTACCTATTTTACCTTTAATATATTTAATATATTCTCTTTTTTTATTTATCTTACTATTACTCTCTCACGTCTACCCATTTATATATAGGGGTGTATTTAAAAAAAATTATATTTACTACATATTAATTATTTTTAATTATTTTCTTAAACCGTGTAATTTAATTAAAAAGATGTTATAATAAGAGTCGGAGTAGTACTAACCTAGGATCATCAATAATCCGAAGATAATAAATTAAGGGCTTATGTGCAATCAAAATGCAAGACAATATTCCTGCACCCCTTCGACCAGCAACCAGCACAAATTGAGACCAATTAACCTTCCAATGACCTCAGCAATCGCTAGAGGCAGTCTTGCGAGCTTGCATCCACTTTGACTAGGAAAACCAAACCATCCTCATCAAGTCTGACACAGTCACCCCGGGGAATGTGCCTGGGTATGCCACTGCCAGAGCTCTGGGTGTGAAAATCACAGTTTTTTTAATCACATCCCTATCCCAAGAAGCACCAAAGAAGCTGGACTGAGCATTAAGGTAATCTCTGCAGCTGCAACCAGTATACATTTACAAATGGTTAACTATTGCGTTAACTGTGCCTTGTAAAAGGAAAAAGGACCATAACTTGTCCAAAACCCTTAACTTGAAATTATGTACAAAAATATTTTCCCCGGTATGATAGATACTATTCCAAACTTTTCAAAAGAGAGTATGTTTTGTTTGTTTAAAATCAAAATCCTATTGAAATGTATAGAAAAAGATAGAAGAATTTTTTCCAAAAATTTATTACACAGCCCTTGGAAACGTGAAGATTTTGAAAGAAATAAAAAATAATTACATACTGTTCAGAATACAAACAAATTTCATGTTTTTGCATTTTTCATTAATGACACGACAGGATTATGTGGGAGAAGTTGCCGGTAAAAATTATTTTTGTGACAATGAAAAATAACCTACATATATAATTTTCTCCAATCCTCAGAATTCTATATATATTTATATATGCTTTAGATTCAAAAATTTTCAACTAAAATTTATCCACAAGCCAATTTTTAAGAGGAGAGAAGACAAGGTGGCGTATGGGAAATGCAGGAAGAAAGGAAAAAGGGACATGGAAAGAGCAGCAAAATGGCATTCACATCTAAAACACCCATGAGCTAAACGCCAAATGACCCCAGTTGGCTTCCCTGTTTCATGCCCAGCAAAAAGCTGTCCCTTTTTTTTTATGACATGACTGAGATTTGAAGCTGTACTAAATGACAAAATATGCTAATACTCACACATCCTCTTCCCTTTTGTTTTCTTTCATTCTCAAGAGTTTTAATTTTGATTCCATTTCTTCATTGTTGAAATGTATCAAATAGATGGTCCATTGATTATCAGCAACTATATCTTAAACTGATTTTTGTAGAGAATTAACTCACTCACATCCCAGTTTTATGGTAAACTAATTCATCTGCCAACTTCTTTGAAATTCAACTTTAAATCAGTCCAACGTCTCCAATAAGCAAAAATTTTAATTGGCTTAACAACAACAAGAAGCTTTATTTCATTAGATATGATTGACAACACAAATTACGTTATCCCCATCTACTCTATCAACAAATCGCTCTTTAAATATATGATGGATTGAAAGGTTATGTTGGTCCCACTTAACAAAAACAAAAAACTTACTAAACCTACTCTTTAGGAGCCTGAGCTGAATACTTACTTAGTATCATAACCATGACTCATGAAAAATTTTAATAACAACACTTCAACATTGGAATTAACAATAATGCCGGTTAGTAAGAATAACACAGAACAACTGTTGCAAATTATGGTTTTGTTAAAGTTACAAGCCATTCGAGTGCCTTAAAATATCTAGTCTTTCAATCTTCTACCTAACTGGGGGAATATGAAGCGAGCAAAATATTTTTGATTCATGTGATCCTAAACAGCAGATCTTTCCTAAAAGTAAGGCAGACAAATTTTTTTTACCCCACGTAATAGCAGATAAAGGGGACAATTTTTGCTCTATTTGTAACCGAAAAGAAAAAATCCTGTCTTCTGGTGAGAGAAGCAATGACAGCAAGTCATGGTGCTCGGATTGCCAGGTAACCCAGACGTACACTGGCGACTCAATAATGAGGGTTAAACGTGCCCTACTGTTGTGATATGAGGGTTAAACGTGCACTACTGTTGTGATAGGCCTCTTGTCCTGTCTTAAAACTAAAAATTTACACCCTACTAATTCAGAAAATAATATTTTGATAATTTGATAAATTGATAAATTAAGTCATTGATGGGACTTGTTAATAAAGAGAGAATTTTAATGAGTTGGATTTTGAAAAAGAAGAAGTGAGGTTAAAAATTTCCAGTTAAACAGTTGTGTCTGGAAATTCGATAAAATCCATTTTTTAAATAAATAAAGACACTAGAAGTTGGATTAGAAAGAAGGGCGGAAGGGATAAAAATTAGTTCAGGTGGCAGGACAGAGAGAGAGAGAGAGAGAGAGAGAGAGAGAGATCCATATTTTGATGAAAGCATAAAAGTTCTTACTTGCTGGGTCTTATTATGCTCTTGTTCCTGAAGCTTCTACATGGAGCCTTCCCAAGCTTCTGGGGAATTTAGTGGAAATAATGAGTCTGGATGGACTGCTTATATTGGTTCTCACATTCGCACAGAAACAAGCTACAGCGATGACGAAGATGTGAAAAGCGTTGAGGACGATGGTAATAATGGCCATAACGATGATGATGAGAGTGATGATTCAATGGCTTCTGATGCATCTTCTGGCCCCAGTCGTCTGCAATATTTAGGCATAAACAGTGAAGGAAGCCATGGCTCTGATCAGTTCACAAAGCATAAAGATAGTGATCATAAAAGCTTATTCTCAGGCAAGAGGACTAGCAAGCAAACAAACAAGAGAAGATATGCAAGGAACGTCGAAGTAAAAGAAGAGGAGGACGACGACGACTTGCTGGTCGAAGCCGATAGTGCTGCTAGTAGTCATGTTTAAGGCAAGAAAAATGTTCCTTTCTCTTTGAAACTGGTTAAATTAACAGTGTCTTGTCACATAATTTAGCCCCAAAGAATAATGTAAGCTAGCCTTTTTTTGTTTTCTTTAATTAGAAGAAATCTTTCTTTATCTGTTCTGGCTTATTACTAGGCTCTAAAGGGGCATGACATGCAAGGAATTTAACCCCATCCAAAATATTTTCCATACCTATCCGTGTCACCTGAACTTTTCAATTCCCATAACTGCTCATGTGTTAACTGTTTTATAACTTTCATTCTTCAAAAGGATAAAAACAAACAATTGCGGAGAGTCATGACTTAGCATCGACTTTTGGATTTAAAATGAAAGCTCAAGTCCAGCATAAATCCATAGGTTCAAAGCATCGATTCAGACCTCTTATAAGCAGATGAAGATGAGAGAAAATGAGTATGTCTGTGTTTCTTTTATCACATGCCTTGTATCAATGAGCTTTGGATCTTAAAAACAAAACAAAAAAAACTCTATTCCTGATATGCTCGAGCCTTCCTTCCTTGTTTTTTCAATGATTATAAACTGGACTTGCACTAGACAACTGCAGAAGAGTAGTTCTTGGAATCATATTAACAAAAAATGCTTTTACGCAAATCTAAACAAAACTTTCTTCGCATGCTACTGTAAAATTATTTCTAATAATCCAAACACTTTAAATATAAAGAAACAAACAAAAGTACATAGTTAAATTGTGCAGTAATTGCCTGGTCTACACAGAACCAATAATTGGGTCTAGAATAGTTTTTATATGTTTACTTTGTGTTCCTATCCGTTTAAAAAAGCCAGATCACTCCGATATCAATTGTACTGAAGCGCGAAAACCAGGTACCTCGTTGGCTAGACAGGTAATGCCAAGAAATTTTCTAAACTATTGTTTAACCTAGACAAAAAGAAATCTATAGGTTAAGTGCTACTACCGGACGGTATCAACATCTTTGCAAGCAACCAAAATAAATATATAATAATGAGAAAGACTTCGTTTTGTCTTTCACGAGCTATTTGTTGGTCTTTTTTTTTTTTTGACCAGAACGAGCTATTTGTTGTTTACTCCCTTAAAGAATGAATGATTTTATTAATTAGGTTGGTTCTCCCAAACAAATATCTTTGCTTGTGAAAATTTTATTGAATAACTTCATAATCACAAGGACTCAAAGAAGGACAATTTAGGTAGTCTTTTTCATTTCCCCTTGTCAAATTCTTTTTCAAGAGACAACTGCAGGGAATTAGTTTACAGTCATTCTTGTTAACTAAACTTGACATGATCAATACCAAAATCCATCCCTAAAGCAGGCCATCTTTGAAAATTTGGAGAGAGAAATTCAGAAAGTTATTGCAGAGAATTCTCCGAAGAAGACAAATTCTGAGGTCAGTCAGTTCTTTATAATGTTCAGACTAAGAACTGCTTTAGGTAACAGATGAAGACATTAATATGGATAATTCTATTTCTATTGTAAGCATTGAAACAACTGCACATCGGTAGAAAAGAAAACTGCATATGTGGACAATTGAAGTTATGAGTTATGACTAATCAGAACATGTTTCATAAAGTTGGATCTGCAGAAAGCAGCAAAAGCATTTACTGATCTGTGGCAAATGTGGCTCAGGGAGTTTAATGTGAGTTGTCATGAGTCATTTTCAATCCTTACAGACAACCAAATGTAAAATGCTCAGCCATCTCTGTTGCAATTTTCTAATTCATACACGTATAGGGGGAATGATAAATAACATATATCGGATCTCGGGGTGTTGTGTGTGTGTGTGTGTGTGTGTGTAATTTACCCCTAAAGCGAAAACCAAATTTCGAGTGGTTTGTAACAGAAGATAAATTCAAGTGAACAGGTTATGAGTTCTGACTAAGTTCTCAATTTGTTCCATGTAAAGCTTTAAGTCCATTTAGTGGCTAGCCAAAAATCATCAATGAATAGTTAATTGGATCCGCTCTAAAGGATGAAAAAGACCCGCGGGGGGAGTATCATAATATCTCTTATTCTAATTATAAGATCTTATTTATAGATTATAAACGAAATCTTATAATTAATGGGAGCTAGTATTACTAAAGTAAGAAGGTTAACAATGGAAGTTTAAAGCAATATCAGTATTTTTTAGTTTTTTTTTTTGGGGGTCAAGTTCTAACTATTAAGGGTTTGGGTTTGTTTGGATTAATTTATAAGTAACTTTTCAAATATGATTTACAAAATATAAGATAAGTATGTAAAAATAATTTTATCTTACATAGACTTGTTTAAAAATTCGTTTTGAAGAGAGTTTCAAACAAGCCCTAAATTAGAGAGAGACAAGTTGAAAGAACGGTCACCATCAAATAGATGTTCAAACTTAAAAAATGTCACGGTTTGTCAAAAAGGGGGAGCAACCGTAAAGTTTGAAAAAGGTTATGACGAAGAGATAAGCATGGAACTCAAATCTCGAAACATTCAATGATAAAACTCCCTCGTACGGAGGAGCACCAAAATACCCTTGAGAGATTGCAGCAAATTAACCACAAATTTCTCTCCCTAGGTGTAATAGAAGATGATATATTGCATCCCCAGAAAACAAAAAACACAGAAAAGTAAACACAGGAAGAATATATTACCTCTCCTGTGCGAACTCCGGATCAATAAGATTAAAATGAAATGTTAGGTTTCTGTCATGCGCTCTCTTCAGATAGTCCTAAAAGGTTCAATAATGCAACTTTTCTACACTCTAATCCTGAAAAAGTAATACAATTATAAAATTTTGTGAACGTTTGTGAGAAGTTTTCCCAATAAACACACATGCGCTGCAAAACTTCCCCTTGTCGCGACTTTACAGAAAACATTATACGTCTACGGAAACTGAACTCATTTGCAGCTTCTAGTCTCAGTCTTTGTCAATGCTTCTGGGAGCCCCAACAGACAGCTCAGCAGCAGCTTCTTTGATTGCCCACTTAACTAGCTAAACCTTGTCCATTATCTTTCATTCTTGTTACTTTGAATACATCCGTGATTATTTTAGTCAAGAGACAAACTCTCAAAAAAAAAAAACTACTGGAACTTAATATGGGGGTTCTTTTTTGCTCAAGAGAAGTACAGCACAACGAGCAACTACTAGCAAGTAGCCATAACATTATATAGAAGAGGTCAGAAAAGTTCAACAGTATATGTCCACAATTTGAAACTAGTGAGATATTCAAACACACAAACTTAGATGATTAAATTAAGATTCAATCACATATATAGCTAAACCACACTTAATGTCAATAAAATTGTTAGACAAATTTAAATATCTAGAACAAAAATATTTTTCCATAAAAAGTTTTGAACGTACAAATAAAAATTTTTCTGGAGTAGAATCCAAAAGTAAATAAATGAGTGGGCCCACCAAATTCAAGCCAATCGGAGTACACACATACCCAACGGTATTATCTTGAGATGCTCCTTCCCAGCCACAATTTGCACAATAACACTTCACTAGCTTCTTCGAATTCACGCCGTTACTTTGCTCCTCATCCAATACCACAGAACAAGGATCAAAGTCCCCAAGCTTGAATAATGAACTTGCGCGCAATCTTCTCGGCCCCTGTCCCTTCGACACTCCGCATCAAACCCTCAATTCACCCTCCCCGTAGAAGCCTCGCCGTCTCAGCTCAAATCCCGACCACAGCCGCCACGAAGTTCTCGGTCTCCGACGAAACCCTAGAATCCCGTGGCTTCCTCCTCCGCCGCGACACTGATGACCTCAACCTTGATCAGCTCAACGCCATCTTCGTAGCGGTGGGGTTCCCCAAGCGTGATCCGGAAAAGATCCGGATCGCGCTGGACAACACGGAAACGGTGCTGTGGGTGGAGTACAAGAAGACGAAGAAACCGGTGGCATTTGCGAGAGCGACCGGAGATGGCGTGTTCAACGCGATCATATGGGACGTGGTGGTGGATCCGTCGTTCCAAGGGATCGGGTTGGGGAAGGCGGTGATGGAGAGGCTGATCGAAGGGTTGTTAGCGAAGGGGATTTGTAACATCGCGCTTTATTCGGAGCCCCGAGTTCTCGGGTTCTACAGGCCGTTGGGCTTCGTGGCGGATCCGGATGGGATCCGAGGAATGGTGTATTCTAGGAAACAGAAAAAAAAAATAGCAGTCACATTCTTTCATCAATTATTTTTGTTGATGAATTTCTTCACTCCCAAATTGATTGTAAGTTAATACTCTTACATAGACACAAATTTATGAGCAAAAAAAAAAATTGTTGATTTATTAAGTCCTTATTGTAACTTTATTTTACCAGTATAAATTAAGTAGATAATGAGACTTCGAATTTCTGAAGTTATTTTATTTTTGAATCCACACACTTGATGGAGCTAGAAGTCTATGAGACTTTAACTAACTCATACTCTCAAAAACTTTACAATATGTTCTTGTTTCAATTAGATTAGCTCTTTAGACTTATTTCATATTAATATTAATGCGTCAAAATTAGCATTATTAAAGTTCCCATAAAGTGTATAACGACGACAATAATAGAAGAATTAGACTTATGGAATGTTTAGATAGAAATCAAATCATGATTTCAGAAATGATTTTACAGTATATGAAGTAAATATATGAAGGAGTTTATCTCGATTTATAAAAAAGTGATTTTTAAAAACACTTCTCATGCTATCCAAACACCCTCTTAATTAAATATTAGAATTGCATGATTTCTCTCCTACGCAGGGTAAAAAAAACAAACAAATTTTAGTTCATGAAATGAATTTTAGAGAAATGGGAATGAAAATAAAAATAAAAATAAAAATGTAATTGCTATATCTCCAACGAAAGTGTTTTAGTCTTGTTCAACACATCTCTGAACATGTTCCTTATTCATAAGGACCATATATAAAACTTGCTTAGTTAACCTCTAGAAGCATTAGTTTTTAACTAGTGCCTGTTGGTAAAGAATACTCTTAGTCCCAAATACACCTTTGTTTAGTTTGATACACTTCGAAAGTATCCACTTTATTATATGAATATGAATATAATCAATATAATATTTACAATAAGCAACATTATTTATAATGTCGAACTCATCTCTTAACTTCCTTACTTTAGAATCACCTAATTAGCTACTACTTCCTGTTCTTAGTATAAAATTTAAAGAATTAATTTGAATAAATTAATGAAACTAATTAAATTAGTTGTTTATTAAAAATATGAGTTGGTTTTCTTTTCTTTGTTTTTTTTTTGAAAAAAAGTTTAGGTGAGCTAGGTCCTGGAAACTTACCAGGATCAGGACATACCTCTAGACTCAGAAAGTGTTTACAGAGGTATTTACAGGGCGCCCACCAACAAAATCCTCACATCAACAACGGGATTCGAACTCACGACCTTATAGGTTATGAGCCAACTCCTTACCAACTGGACATAACTTTTGTTGGTATATGAGTTGGTTTTCTTAAAATACTCTATCAAATTATTTGCGTTAAAACTATCTCGCGATATAAACTTTATGAACATGTGCGATCATCAGGGATAGTTAGAGAGGGATGATAAGCATGGGAGCAAAATAGATTGATGTCTTGTATCAAGGATTAAATTAATAAATTCATCCTCTAACTTTTATCCCAGAGACCGGAGGTAGTATAATGCAAGGCAGTAGCGTCTGGATGCAGTGGGAGAGAAAATCATTTGCTTTCCCATAATGAAAGAATGATCTTACAAGAGAAGGAGAGAAATAAATATCACCACTGAACTTTATTGACTATATTGAACAGAGGCTACATTCCTACTACAGGAAGCAATAGTACCCCTCAACTTTTTTCAAAGACTCTGATTCTTACAACAACATGGCTCCACTCTACATAAGCGAGCAATTCCTATAACCATTCAAATTGCGCACGTTGATCAGGCACATCTGATCCAAATACATGAATCAATATCTGAACTAAACCTTTTTAGAGAGGCCACCAAGAGAAACTATGGAATGGTACAGCAATATCAAAGCCAGATGCAGTAATGAAAACAGTTTTGCAAATACTTTCCACAATTTTGCAGTTTTTGGTTCATGACCGTTAGAGACCTGATTTTAAGATAAGAAAGATTTAAGGAACAAGGAAATATGAGGATAAATCTATTAGAAAATGAAGTAAGGATCTCACTTTCACTCTCTTAACAGCCAAGGATAAAATCTACTAAGGATTACTTAAGCAAGAATCTCGCCTCAATAAAATTTAGCAGCCAAGTGGAAAATCTCCAAATTACTGAATTGATATTTTATTTCTCAATGTCCTTCCCGCAGGAAATCGCTCGGTTATCTATAAAAGAAAAATACAACAGAAACAGAATCTGAAAATCCCTAAAACATAGGAAACAGTCTCTTCTAAAACATACTTGACGTTGGTGGACCGTCTAACTGACATAATGATCCGCTTATTTCTCAACAAACTCTTAAAGCAATTGAAAATAAAATATCCCAGCAATTAATAACGAATTAATGATACATTTTGAGGGAGTCTGCCCAACAGAATCACTTTCATCCATTTTCCTCTTCTTTCGCTGTGTAATTAGTCTGTGTTCGGGAGGAGGAAATGTGTGTGATATGGAAATCTCTTCAAGGATCTATATCTGCTATTTGGGGTAGACATTCCCACAAAAGAAAGATCTATAAAAATAGCAACTATCTTGAATCTACACAAACTCATAAAGGATCTACGCTATTTTCTAGTAAAACAAATATCCAGAAACAGAGAAGCAAAAACAGCAAAAATTCTATGATTAGAAGCATCATAGTCATGGTCCCAGCGACCTAGGAGTAGGACATGAGTCCCCGAAACTGTCAAAAATTTAGAAGCATAATGAAATTGTTCAGTCGTCCAGAGCATTTGCACTTAATAAAGGAACCAAATGCAAAGCTTCAAATTAGATCAGGCTCTGAAGGCTATTCATCTGATGCAGTTCCAAAACCCAGAAAATAATACATGAATGCCTATGAGCTCATGAACAGACCGATAATGTGAGACAGAATGAATGCGTGTCCTAATTGTGTGGACAATATTAAGCACTCCAATCCAGTGATCCTTTATTGGCTTAAAGTGGAAGAATATGGCAACACCAAGGAGGTGGCTAACATTTTTAATGTGCTAAATGTTTCATGTCATTTCTAACTGAAAATTTAAGAGCAGGCTTTACTTCTAAAAATGTATTTGCTTTCCAAGTCATCTTTCAGAAGTGCATTTTTTCCATGATGCAAATGGATTAAAGCTCTCTCCCCCATCATTTTGTGACTTATCTTTCTCTCCCCAAATCTCATTACTTTTTCTTTGAGCAGAGACTCTGACCTCATCCCTGAATTAGCAAAGAGCATGTGCAGCCAGAGGGAAAATTGATTTTTTCTAAAACATAGCTGATGGTTCAGAAATGTTAATACAAATTTCAAAAACCACGGCAGTCCTTGCAGTCATGATGCACACAAACATGGCCAGTAAAAGTTAGGACATGTGGTGTGACGTGTGAATCGTGAAAGACACTTTCACATTAAGAATTTGCTAAGGAGTGAAATTGACAATGTGCTTAGAGTTCAGGCACAATACAACTCTAGCTACCCATTTCTCAGCTTCTTGTGATCATATGTATTCCTTAAAACTAAAAGTACACGACAAGAGAATGTTACATCAATGAAGCTGCTTGATGATATTGCTATTATTTGAAGTTAGTATCAATTAAGGTAAAAATAAAAGTTGGGCATCAACATAATGGCGGTATAGGGTGAATAGCAGAATAGTTTAACACTGACTGTAGATGAACTTATAGCATGGTAGGCATATTCTAGCATTTGTATCTTGCATAATTACAGAAACAATACTTTTCTGGCCAAAAAAATTGGATTAATCATACTCTTTGCTAAAACTTTTTACACGACATTGGCTTTCAATTGTAAGTCATGTCAGGCCAACAACAACAACAACAATAATAATTAGTCATGAAGATCTCTTCACTGTTCAGATTAACCAAATATGATTAACTCAGCAGTGGCGCACTTTGGCAAAGCATATGAGAATTACACACAGAATTAACCATAGGTAATGAATTCACAGGACCCCAAAAATAAATCATGAAGATTACAAAGCTTTTCAGATTAACTCTACATATTTAGTTCAGCGGCAGTGCACTTTGCCTAAGCATATGGTAATTTATCATAATTACAGCTTGACTAGTCGAGGATAATAAATGCACTGGAACCAGAGAAGGAGCGAAGATTATATACTATACAGAGTAACCATATTTGAATTAACGGCTTAACAGCTCTGAACCTTGCCAGAGAATATGAAAAGTCAAAACAGATATTCGGCAATAAATTCATCACTGGACACTATTTAAGTTATGATGATCACTGTAGCCTTCAGACTAATAATATATAATTAGCTCATTGTAAATGCACTTTGCCTATAAGAAATCCACACAGGAGCAGCAGCAGCAACTACAAGCCTTGGTACAAGTCATGAAACATGGGTAATAAAATCACCGGATTTGATACAACTCATGAATATGACTAATTACTGTTCTCAAATATATGAGTGCACCTTTTATAAACTTATCAGAAGTCCAAAGAGGTGATCAATCCAAGAGAAACAAATGCATCGGACCCTAAATAAACCAAAGTCAGCCTATCAATGAAAAATTTTGTATATGAGTGCACCTTTTATAAACAATGTTTGGATTAGCCTTTTAGAGGTGATTTTACGGATTACGTGGAGATGAGTATGAAAGAAAAATTTTGTCTCGGAGTATACCAAAGTCAGCCTATCAATGAAAACATTATAAGAATACTACAAATGGCGATATCAAAGTCCGAGCTCTGATCAAAACTACATCAAAATTCAAGAAGAGATTATATACCGTGTACAAATATTGCATGGATTTAGGATTTAGGATACGTCCTTGGAATTGAGGAAGAACGCAGCAGAGCATAGGATTGAAGCAATGAAACCAAAAATTCCCAAACCAATCAGAAGGGAAACCCCAGCCACCACGAGATCCAACATGCTCTGCACGCTTAATCCCATCATCATCGTCGTCGTCATTTTCCACTTCTTATTCTTGAGCTCTAATAACTCAGTAGTCAAACAAGAAATTTCTACAGGCGGAAGGCCGAAGAGAAGCAATTTTGATGACAAAAATATCGAGGATGGGACGTGATGGATCTTGCTGTGCCTGCAACACACAATGATGCGATAAGAGAATCGAGACAGAAGAGCGGTGAATGTCAGAACCGCTAAAGAAAGAAAGGCATGAAATTTCGTCGATTTTGGATTGTAGGAAGGCAGAAAAGCTACTAACAGGTTATGGGGCAGCGAGAATCATTCTGAACTTTGATGCAGGAAGGTGACACAACACAATTACTACAGTGGGGAAAATGATACCTCGAACCGAAGAAGAAAGGATAGGAATGATACTCGGATCCAAAATTTTAAAATTGTATTTTTCAATCAAATACTTTTCCCCATTTATTTTCTATTTTATGATTTATGATGATCTAGGTTTCATTTTGTCTGGAAAGTTTGCGCGCAAAAGTTGCAAAGTATCTGAGCGTTTTTGCTGACAAAGAAAAGTATCAAAAGTTTTTTTAAAGTATTTAAAAAGAACAAAATCATTTGGATTGTTTAAAAGTATGTGATTGAAAAATATTGACCCAAACAAAACTTAAATTATTCAATTTATGTTTCAGATTAAAAATTGTGATTATAATTTAGAAAATTCAAATGAAAAAGAGTTAAATTCTACTCCTCTAATTTTTAATATAAAATCTAATTAATTAATTTAATTAGATTTAAAAAGTTAGGTAATTTAGTTAATTATAAGAAATATGACATGTTTTTCTATAACATCATAATCATATTTCTTAATATCTTTTCTCCATCTTCTACTTAGTTATGGTTGAGTAAGTATCAATATGAGTAATTTTAAAAAAATTGATAAATAAGGAAAAAAGTCTTATATTTAAAACTAATATCAATTTAATAATTAGATTTTATAGTAAAAATCGGAGCAGTATTAACTTCTCGTTCAACAGAGTGTTTTTCATCGTTTGTAGAATTATTTAAAAAAAAGACCCTCATTCTTATCTCCCCAGATTTTCCACCAGGCATGTTTTAAATATGCTCTTTCGCGAACATCATTTTATTCTTCTCCGCATTAGTATCCTGCTCGTACATCTTTGTTGTCCGTTGGCTTCAAACTTCTCGATCCAGCGGGATTTTCGGGTGCATCAAATACTTGCTTCCGAAGAATAATTTGTATTTTGAACATTTTATATTTTAATTCATAATTTTATTGTTTTTGTTAAAAAAATTACTGAACTCAATGCAACTAATTTTCAATTTTGGGTTTTTAGGAGTTTTCACTTGTGTATGGTCATCATCCAAACAAAAAAAACTCGTGCATGATACTTTAAGAACACTTTGGTTAAATTGACTTTATTTTCTAAATATCATAAGAGAATTCAGATTATTATTTGATATTTTAATATTTTGGGTCCTAAAATATTACTATCCTTTCTATTTCATCCCACAATGTCATCAGCTTGTAAGCTCTTTTTTTTTTTTTTCCCAATCATTCTTTGTTTGTTTGTTTCATTTTTTTTTTCCTGGCTCTTAACTTTTAAGCTTCTTATATATGCTCCCTCCATTCTGAAATACAATCTTGGAGGTATGCATGCAATAGCAAGAAAACTAATCATGATAACAAGTATTGAATTAAATTGTAACAAAATAAAATTATATTTTTTCACTAAATGACCTGACCTAAGTATTTTTCTAAATTAAAGTATACTATAAATCCAGTGGTTTTTTTTTTAACCAAAAAATGCTCCGTCCCATCTTTTAAATCTTTCGAAAAGAAATGAGTGGTTCTATACAATAGTTGCCCGGTGAAGTGTTAACTAGGTTTTTTTTGCAGAAGAAAAAAAACTTAAGTTAACTTTCTTATATCTATTATGTTAAATTTTTTAATTATGTATGGCTGTGCGTTCTTTTTTGTTTTATATGAATTTATAATTAAATATTAATATTTTAAAAATAGGATATATATTCATATATGATTAAAAAACTTGACATAATAGATATAAGAAATTTAATGTAAGTATTGTTCTTTTCAGAATTGCCTCTCTTCAATTTTTTGAAAAATATATTTGATTATAAGAGAATATTTATTTATTTTTTTCCTATCCATTTTAACAAAGTTGATAACTTAATTAGCTATCTTTCTTTGATGATGTGATTAAATAAAGGACCAAGGAGTAAATTTCATCACAAGGGAATTAGAACAAAGAGTAGCTCTGCATTTATATTACAAGTAGCTATTAAAATATGTTACCAGAACCACTATAAAAAAGAAAAGAAAATATGAAAAAAAGAAAAATCATATTGAAAGTACCCATATTTTTTTTAATTTTCAATTTGATACCTATATATATATTTTTTCTTATTTACAGATTTAATTTTGTTCTATTAACATCGTTAACCCTTGCATAGACACTAAAAAGCTAATAGAATAAGGTTACAAGAGCTAATATTACTAAAGAAGTAAAATTAAATAATTTAATTAAGAGGAAAAGACATATAGGTACCAAATTAAAAATTAAAAAAAAAAACCTCAAATATAGTTTCTTTTTATGAAAAAAACCCACCTAAACACTAAGTTAAAGCCATAAGATAAGATCAGGTCTTATTATGGGTGCTCATCACCATGATGCTTATCACCAAGGAACAAAAAACCAAACCGGACACTAAATCGGTTCAGGTAGTGGTTCAAGGATCAATTGGTCCAACCAGAGTCAACCCGAGATCCAACCGGTTATATTAAAATAATATAATTTAATTAAAAATAATAAAATATAACAACATTAATAATCACTAATAACAAAATATAAGAAAATATAACAATAGTTTGATTAAAAGAATAACAAAGTATAATAACATTAAGAATTTTGATTTTATGGTTCATTATTAATTAAAATTAATAATCATTGACACCAAAATAATTATTAAAATTCATTTAAATCTATAGGAACTGAGATATTAAGAGCTGAATGAGAAAAAATAGGACCATTAACAACATAATCATCCAAACTAATTTATTATTGGTTTACATCGGTTTTTATTGGTTTTCATTGGTTCACACTAGTTTACTACCGGTTCAACTCCCCCCGGTTTAATATTAAAACTGAATCAGATCACTAGCCGGTTCACCAGTTTACCACGTGATAATAAATTATTTAAATTTAATTCAAATAGTTTATATTTAAAAATAATTTACTGATAGAGTGACAGCTAAAAAGTTTTTTTTATTTTAAATTTTAGTAAAAATATTGAATCTGAGGTGCATTTGTGTTATTACAATGACATGCATTTTTTTTTCCCCCAAGTGACCTGCAATTTAAGAGTGCAATAATCAGATTCCAAAAGAATGACAAGAAAGGCTGGTGATTGATATGCTCAGTTCACCATCTCCATCTATGACGACGCCATTGCAGCATAGATCTGCAATTTAATAAAATAAATCTTTTTCTAATGCAATAATACAATTAAACCCAGACACATACTCTTCTAATGCTATTTATAAGACAGAAAGAAAATATATTTTTTAGTCTCATTTATAGGGTATTGAGAGAAATTTTTGTTTGAATATACAACTTTATTATTATTTATTATTGTGTTAATTTGTTTATATAAGGTATAATATATATTAAATAGGAAAAGTTGGAAAATTGTTGAATTTTAAATTAGAGTTAATAAAATTTAAAGTTTTTCTTGATCTATGTGAATCATGTTAGAAGTGACTTACGAATCTTTTCCCTCCAGTTCCACCCACTTCTTATTTGAACCACTAAGATTAAAATTTATACCATCTAGATTTCATAATTTAAAAAATAACTTGATAAAATCTATTTTTTAAAAAATTTAACATTTTATTCGTAATTTTGTAAAATACCAACTTTGAACTATTCAAATTTCAATCTTATGATTATGAAGTGAATAGAAATAGAGAGAAACAGAAGTAAAAAAGCTCCTTTTCCATACACTAACAAACATGCCAATGCTGTATTTGAACCCAAAACCTCGTCTAAATATGACAAGTGGCATTGTTACTGGAACAAACTAGTCAAGTAGCAGTTGACAATAAATAAATTTTCTTAGATATTTTAGATAAAAACTAAACTATAATTTTAAAAATAATTTTATATATAAAATAAATATGTGATGAAAATTTTATCTTGACCTGTATGTAAATATTTTTTTAAAAATGTTTTTGCGGGACCAAACACCATTTTAATCGTATGCACTTTTAAGCATATTGTTACCCGTTGGAAGCACAAGGCAACAAAAAATTTCAAAATGGCAATTTAGCAAATGTCATAGGAGGCTATTGAGAAATGAAATTTCCACAGACAGTCAGCGAACTTCGATAGCATCATCGATGCATTAAACACAGAGATGCGCCATATGTTTATTAATTACTAGAAATTTGTCTCGCATAATGTGCGGATTAATATATTTGATACATTTGAAGCTGGGCAACACTTACAGTTAATTTAATATATTTAAATCTTAATTAAGATATTATTTAAATTTAAAATTAATTATTAATTTTTTTATTTGAGCTCCTAAATGAAATCCCATTTAATTCTAATGGTCTCCCATTTAATTTAATGTATTCAAATTCCAATCAAGACGTTATTTAAATTTTATTAATTAAATATATTCGAATGTCATATTGTCATGTCCGACCCCATTTTAAATGGATCGGGTATTGCAAGATTTTAAGAATATTAGTTAGTTGATTGATAGAAACGTGTAGTTTGTTCTAACCTTTATCATCTTTAAATCCCCAATTTTTACCCAAACAGTATCATTTATTCCTCTAATTCTATTTATATAACATTTTTTTAAAAAAAACCTTAAAAATTATTAACTTTTACCCTCACTAAGTATACATACTTTATCCTATTTTAACAACACGCATGGACATTTAATAAGGGATAAATAGGTGAATTTATAAGAAAAAGTTGG